GCCGCTTTGATAAGTCTGCCCTCAGGGCGCATGTAACGATCGGTCTCCTGATATCCTACATTCATCATCGACTTGTCTACGTATCGTGCTTGGCCAAAGCTCTTGCTCTCGAATTGCTCAACCTGATCAGATCTGCGATAAGAAGGCGCCTTGAGGTCTAAACGCTCTTTTGGGGTTTGATTCCGAATAGGCAGGACTTGGGGTAGTCTTGGTGTCGCTGCTGGAGCTAGATCTCTACCAAGGAAGGAGACAGATTCACGGGGTGGTCTCGTGCGACGCTTCTGCGGTGTTTCACTTCCAGCAGCAACGGGAAGGCTGAAGTGTGAGTTTGTGGTGGGCGCTGGTGTATTGCCTGTCGAGGCTGGGTTTATCTCTCTCAAGGGCGTATGGGATCCATTCATCGGTGTGGATGGCCGTACTCCTGCTGGCGTCCTCGGAGGCGATTTGGCGACAGGGAGGGGGAGTCCGTCGACTTCTTCAGAACGGAACATCATGAATGTAGCATCGATATCGAGCTTGGGGTGGAATTCCTCCCAGCCCCGTTCCTCTCTGGGCTTGTATCCTTCGTTTTCTGCAACGGCCGCTGCGACAGCCGCAGCCGAACTGAATTCCATGTCTTCTCGGTCGGCGGCGGTTCGTAATCTTGCGCTTCTTTCTCGTCTTGGGACTATCGCCGACACGCTGCGCGGCTCCCTTGGTGGTCTACGCACTGCTGCGATGGGCGTCTCAGTTCCATCATCATCGATGAAACGGCCACCACCACCAGCACCTCCAGGAATATACCTTCTTCTCTTAGGCGGGGGTTCGGTATGAGGAACTGCGGAAGGGGTGGCGTGGTCGCGCGTAGATCGGCCGGAGGGAGGTGGTGCGGGGGAATCTCCAAGGTCGCGCGCAACGCGAGTGGCGTTGGATGTGCCTGGAGGACGTCCACGTTTTCGGCCGGTAAAGGATCGCCTCGGTGTTGAAGGCTTTGAAGGCATGTTTCGCGATTATTGGCCCAGTATTGGGGCTTCTTCTGATGGGGATTAAGAGAGGTGGTCGGAAATCACCGCGTCAGGAGGAGGTGGCGCGCGGAGTGGTGGTGCGGCTGGAGGAAGGGGCGGGGCATTGGCGAAACGGTACCGCGCACGTATCTCCGGCACGCAACAAGGCTACAGTACGGTTGCGAAGGTGATGCTGAAATGGAGAAGAGTTGAACAGGTCATCAGGAGACGAGGTGACGTCGAATTTGCGGCTCAGAGTTACGGGTGCGAAAAACAGACAACGCGTGAAGTTGAAACGCACGGACCCGGATACCATTGTTAGCCGCAGGGGGAACGCGCCATTAGTCATCCGTGAACACCTGGCAAGGGCAGTCGCAGGGGTGGGTTTGAATGGGGGCATTGCCATTTGGGGCATTAGGGCCTTGGGGTTCGCTTCAGGTTTCGGGGAAGGAACAAGGGGCCTTGAGGGGCAGCCGCACCCGCATCCACTTTGGCACTAGCACCTTACCCGTCACCGTTGATTGGGTCGATTGCTCCTTCTTTATTTTATCAGATCGAATGGACATTCCTCGACAGGGCCACAGTTCCTTGCCGATTCAAGCGTAGCTACCTTTACCTATCTTAGGTAGGTGCAGACCGTACTCTCTGTTCCAATTCATTTTGATTCGCATCGAGTCATCAAGGCCTGAGGTGGGTTACTATTCCACCTCTTTCCCCTGCTGTTAACATGATTACGCCTTTCCTACCAACTACACAATGTAAAGTTGTCTGTTAGTCGTTTACTTACCTTACCTAGTACTACAACCGCGGGTCTTCGCAACATATATGGTGGCAAATTCAAAGACACCCGAACACACATTATGTCTCTCCACAAGTTCGGATGCAGCGAGTCATTTGTGTTCCTGTTCAAAAGCAGAACCCAAAGTCAATTGAAGATGGCGACAAACCAGCAGACGAGCACCTCGACTCGGCCGAAAAGCCCATTGGCGCAGTTCACTGAACACGCCATGGCCGAGACCGGATCGTTCACTCAGCTTAAGATCCGAACCTGTGCGTAATCCTTCTCTCTGGTCCATTTACACCAGTGGCGCATGTCGGCGCAGCGACTCGTTCGCGACTCTCTGAGCCGCTAGACTTGCGACCGGCATTGATGTCACCGCTCCTCTACCCCGGATGCCCTCTCCACATTTTCGGGTCCCTTCCCGAGGCGGCCAAGCGGCCAATGTGCTTTGCCGCCCCTCCTCGATCGGCCACCGCTGTTCCACCGCCACATGGCCTCCCTGCTTGTTTACCGTTTACCTTTGTTGGTTTTCAGGGTCCAATCTCAGCTAGACATCTTGCCGTCAGAGATCTAGTCAAGCACGCTGTAAGATACCCGGCTTGTGAAGTTCAAAGGTCAGCTTGCTCCATTTAGCTTACACTTGCTTCATCCTGTCATGTTTTCTCTTCCTATACCTTTCGTTTGTTCGAACTTTTCCCTGACCTCGGCATGTCGCTTCCCCCTTCCTCCATAGGTTTTACCTCGATTTGAATTGACGCCTCGTAACCGGGGGATGTGTGTGTGCCGGCCCTCTTGGTCTTCCACCTTTCCCCGTCCCCGACCGGGAGATCCCACCTCATCGATAATGTACTACCCAGCTGCGGCTTCAACGAAGTCGTGTGATCTAGCTGGCTCGCACACATGCTATGGGTATTTGGCTTTTATGTAGGCTTTGATCAATTACACCGAGACTTTGCTTTACAAATCTACGAGGGCTAGTCGTCGGATGACCTATGAGAAGCCTGGCTCTGCCAGGAGATGTTTCGAGGGTTGAGCAACGTCGCTACCTGAGGTCAGCTCCGCATCCATAATCTGCTTAGCCACCATCTGTGAGTTCGCGGAAGACGCAAATACAAACGATGCCACATTGTCACAAATATCTTAAGCGACGCATGGCCGCTTTTGCAACACCATCCCGTCGGCTGTCCTCGTGCACAATTGGGCTGACGTGCGGTCTTGACCACTGAAGAGTTCATTGCTCCCAAGAGTGAGATGAGTGCGACGTGCAAGGACACCATTATTTGCTTCGTCAAGCTCGTGGTCGGCAAGATGGTGGGAACAATCCCCATCGGTGTGCACCTGTGGATCCCCACCAACGAGATCTCTGCCCCTTCACCGTTTGGTTTTCGCTTTTGTGTCGCTGTCCTCGCTTACTTTCTGAACGGCCGGATAAGCTAATTATGCAATCACTATCTGTCTGCCACCGTTTCTCTCGTTCTTGTTACCTGTGTAACTCTATTTGGTCACCAGGGCATTTCTATCCGAAACAGACTACGCACTTGGACTAAATCTCAATTCGCCTGCTTTGTAGTTACTGGGCCCGTGGCTGATGTGCACATCGACGGAAACAGCGCGAGTATTTGACGTTTCCCTTCCTGAGCGGCAATCAAGACTTACACCTCAGATCTGGGGACAGCAACTCGGTCGACAAGAGCCCTTGGCCATGAGCCTCGAAACTCCCAAAGGCGCGGCAATTTCCTCCAAAACTGAGACTGAAATGCTTCAAGAAAGAAGCAGGCGTTGACCCGACCCAGCCGCTTAGCCTCTCACAATCACTCCCAGCATGAAGCATCGGCGACTTTCTGGTGCTTGAATACCCTCGTGGAGTGTCTTGACCTCGAAGTTCTCTTACGAAAACTCCTCATTGAGGGACGATGTGGTGAAGTCACCTCATCACCAACCACACAGCACTCAGGTACGCAGTATTGTGAAAGTTTACTGGCGATCACATCTTCTACTAATGAGGAAACGATCGGTTAACCACCACGACCGCGCTACAGGTCCAAGCAGTTGACGGAGAATTAGCGACTCAAAGCTAACTTCAATCTTCAGGCAAAGGCAAGCGTCGAAGTTGCAGAGAGCACACGCAGCCAATTCAATCCCACGTACAATCCCTCTTTAAATGGTGGCCGCGAATGCCTGAGCTCAAGGTGTTACTGGGAACTTTTCACGCGAGTCACTGACATATCCGGGGTTCTCACTGATTACCGACCTCGACAAGCTGCTTGACCCGCTTTGCAACGTTGTCGAAGCCCGCCAATTTTTTTCGATTGGAACCAGGTTTTGCAAGGTTCCCATTCATTGTGCCGAGACGCTTCGCGATGTCTACATTACCTGCCGTGTTTAGTTGCTTGAGCTCAAGAAGATGGGGGACATGTCACATCAATGAGTTCCCTTGCCAGGTGCAAATTGCTTACTTGCGAATAAGGCTTCAGCCCCACGAAGTGGCCAAGTAGTCCGCTTGATAGATTGTTTGGACGGTGTGAAGTCCCCAACTACCTGTGTTAGGCGAGCGGCCTCTGCGATTAACACCTTAATACCGACATTTGATCAACTTAGCCGCTGCGAAAGGCCCTTTGGGGTGGTCGAAATCAATGACAAGAATCTCTCAAGAACATAGGGAGCTTCATTGCTGACAGCGCAGCAGCTCAAAGAGTCTGTCAAATTAGCGATTACTGAATCTGGTAGTCGGTAGGCCCCTTGCAGATGATGTCGCTAACCTGGAACAACGACGCGAGAATATAATCGAAGACAAAGAGCTTTGAGTGATCCTTGTACCTACTGTGTCGAGCAGCACCATTGTACTATTTGGCTCTGAGGAGACTCTTCTTCTAGGAATGTTTATCGCTGTTGCAAGCGCGCATGCACTTTAGGCCTTACTGCAATTACTTGACGATCTTGTTTATAACACGACTCAATTTTCCTACCTCGCGTCAAGCCGCATTCAAGCGACGTAAAGTGTCTATTTTCTCTTGACGTGAAGGTGCTGTTGTGCTGTCATGGACGTTACAATCGGAAAACGAGGCTCCGGCGAGGTTGGCTATCTGGTTTTTCAGATACATAGATAACTATTTCAAGGCCTCATTCGGTGGGCCTCAATTACGTCACAACTTCCTCATCTCGAAAGATCAGCAATGTGAACAAGGTTGCAGTTAGAAATTAACGTTCATACTGAAAGGAATCGAGCACACATTTGCTGTCGAAGAGACTCGCAAAGCTGAATGAGTTTCCGCAGACCACGGGCAGCTTTCAGATGGCTAATCGTAAGATCATTGTTTCATTCGATACTATTGGAAAGAAGGGGTATACTATGTCATGTGAGCCCCAATCTCAGCGCCAAGGGCAATAGGAGACAATATTTGTTGCCGTTCTTGGCGGACGTACGTAGACTGAGACTACCAAGTAAGAGCAGTAGCCCCATCTGGAAAGTACAGTCAAACAGCATGAACAAAGCTAGCCCAAGTATGATGAACTGCTTGCTGACAGATTGTAGACTTCTGTGCCAGGGTCCACATTGGAAAGGGTTTTCTGTAAGTATTAAACGAATCGTCTCAAGGTTTGCGGCTAGATTTCATTCTTGCAATTTGCTGCGGAGCTCAACTATCACTGAAGTTTACATTGCGGTTCGAGGGCCTTCCCCACGATCCTTGGCGGCGATGCGCACACAGTGTATCATAGGCCAGTCGATGAGGTACTCTTGCTACTCAGGGCTGGTCGGGACAGACGTATGGGAAGCAGCCACCTTCGAAGCAATTGAGACGAGCACGGCCTTGGCGATATCAATCCCCGTAAGGACGCGACTGGCAAGGCTAACGAGGACGAGGTGGCTAGCGATGATGAAGATAAAGGCTCGGGGCCCGACCTCGGCGTTTGCTAACTTGATTGAAACCGCCTTGACTTTAAAAGGCGATTTATTAATCAGTTGGAACGATAGAGTGGCGCAACCTGCAGTCTGCGTTGACTTGGTAACACTGACCGCCTTACTCGAGGTTTGCTTGGCCTCGATAGTTTCAATGGGGTCTCAAAGGTCCGTTGTAGGTTGGATCGTCAGACAGGAACCCTTTCAACGAGCCCAGCTGCGGGAAGTTCTATTCATCGGTTGTGTATTCTCGTGAATTATTCAGCGGGTGGTACGGAAGGATGGAGAATTGGTGTGGTCCTGATACGGTTAGCTATGTAGAATGTCAGTGACCCCGTCAGTGCATCCTGGACTGAGAAGCTCACGCTCAGCCCTCGACTCGCCAGACAGAGTCTTACAAAGTCACAGAGACCTCCGTAAACCAAACTTTTGGTGTGATGACGAAAAGTTGGATCTAGCCAAGAAATGAATCCTTTTATACTACTTAGTTACCTGGTGATCTAGGTGAAAGCCCCTCAGCTTCGGTGGTATACTGTTTGGGAGGGAGGCGGAGTGGTTGTGTAAGATCGAGAACTAAGTTGAGAACAGGGTAGATATGTTACATCTGATCTCTAATAAATTTGATAGAATTTGTCCTTCGTCACCTCGTACAAGTGTGTCTTTCCGAAATTCAGGCATGCTTCCCAGGCCGCGTCTAAGAACTCAAGGGAAAAACATTGCACAAGCTCGCTGACCCTTTATCGCGAGGCCGCTCTCGGCGAGTTTGTCTCCTCCGTAAAGGCGTGTAACGTACTTCGTGGCCGGGCCATCCAATGAGGCATAGGATATGTCCTTGGTTTCTAGACGAGGTCTTCAAAGCTCGAGAGGCTTCAATGGTCCCCGAGGAACCACGGGGAACACTGAAGCCACAATCTGTATGAATTGATGGCCGAGCTACGGCAAGGATTATTCAGAAGGTGAGAAGTCTCTCGGGGTTTGAGACCGAGTTCCATTACAGAAGCGGATATGTTGGAAATGACAGTGACGGCTCGTGCGAACGGCAGATATCGGGAGCCGGCTATCACAGTGGCAGGCACCTCCCTTTACCAGCCCGAAAATGAAGCTGAGTGTTCTTAATAGTCAAAGTTGAAGCATTAACTGATGGAATTTGGGAGAAACGAGCTTCCTCTCGGATTCATGGCCGACGAACCCCGAATGCAGGACGAACGAGGCTATGACCTTGGTGGCTCCGGCTTATAGAGTGTGAGCACGTCACGAAAGCAGTCGTCATGACTTTCCACAACTTCCGCGGTGAGCTCATCACCCAAGGCTATATCGCAGTAACAATCACTTCATGCCGTCAAGTAAACCCCCAAGAAAGACCACCGCTATTCCCAGGGCTGATTATAATCAGCTTCGCTAAAGTGCGCTTATAGCGGGAATTCGATTGAACGCTGCATCTCTGTCAATAGCACATCCATACTTTAGTGGCCGTTGCGACTGATAACACATTCAAGCTATTTCACGATTTCGGCCCATACTACGCCTTGGAGTACCACAGCGTATTATAAAGCCTTGAACTGTGCTGCATTTAATCGCCTTATCTCTTCCAAGCGTGGGATCTATAGCTTCAAGAAACATGAAGCTGCTAGAGCTTCCAGCCCGAAGAGATGACCCAGAAAGGCTATCGAGATCATGGGCACCTTCGATCGGCTCTGTCACTGCCAGTGACGAATTTGAGGTCCTAGAAGCAGTATGCCACTTTGAGAATAAGGTATTGATAGCGTTAGAGGGGGCAGCCGCAGACGCAAGCCCGGGTACCACACTACCTTAATGAAGACCCGAGTTTTGAGCGTGAACGGCGACGTCGAGGCAGCTGACGCGGCAGAGGAGCATAGCTCATTTTAAAGTCATCAAATTCCCAATGGTGCCCGCCTCATGCCCCAGGGCCTTTGTGCAGTAGATGCATCCTTGAAAAGCTGATAAGGGTTCCGACGTCCAGAAATTGGACCTTCGGCCACAAGGGCAAAGCTACATATACCGACGAGACGTAGCAAGTCCCTGGTCTCCGGACAGGCCCTGATTTCCGTTCGCATCTTTGGTACGAGGTGTCGTGTGAGAAGGGTGACGGGATGGGGAGTGAGGCTAATGCCATCTGGTAAATCCGGAGCTCGTGGTACCAGGAGGCCAAGATCCCTGGTGGGAGTTTTGGCGGCTCTGCCGATGCTCAAGACAAAGTATATCAACCCCGTAACTCGCCTCTATGCCCGTATTGACATTGGAATACTATGCAGATGGATACCTAGAGACAGCACAAGTACACCAAGATCATGTTTACGACGTACGCTCTGTGCAACGCCGGTCTTGACAAACTCAAGGCGGCAAAACTTGGTCCAATTCACGGCGATCAAGCACACGACCATGCTCCGCCAGGCTGCGAGACTACGGCCGGAGACGGCTGAACCTGCCTGACCCGACTTTACTCTGGTAGTTCTCTAGTTTTGTTACTTAAGGCATATTAAGCTGATGGGCGAGGGCGGAGTCGTTAGTCGAGTTATCGTGGCCGCTTTTAGCAGTCGTAGTAACGTATGCCTTATTTCCGCCAATAGTCCTGTTGGCTTGGTATAAGGTCTTGAACAATATGAAGCTGGGATTAGGAAAAATTAAGAAACGATTTGGCTATATGAAGCCCTTCACCCCGTAATGTGTGCTGGTCTTCGTGTGAAGATATAATCGAGTTCCAGTAGGATGTAATGAGCAAGTGCCTTTCACCCAATCCCGCGAACGACAAGGATTTCAAGCCATCGTACCGGCTTCTCGGACTGAGCCCATTCCAACACAATCATTGCTTGGCAACTTAGATGGACTACGCCCAGCTGCGTCCATAGCTAGTTATACCTACCTTAACCACTAGGCAAGAGCCATCTTCGACACCTGTGTGACATGGCCGCTGTGTAAAGGGGGCATTCAGAGCGCGAACAGAGGAAAACACACTCCGACATGGTCCAGATGGAATCCAGTCCACAGCAGCGTGGCTCTTGGCATGATACTCAATGTACTTCTCTGAAAAAGGGGGCGCTTAGGCCCGCGAATATCTGACACATGCTTGACAATGTGGAAAGGCCGGGGAACTCCAAGGCATAAGTTGGCGCGTTTTCCATGCCCACATTTGTAAGAAACCACACGCAAAACTTTTGGATCTCATGTACATCGAGTTCTTTGCCAACAAGTTCTCTAGTAATCGTCACAGCTCCAGGGCGAGGCAGCTCGTCCTATATGGTACGGGAATTACTCTCGGCAACACTAGTAAGTTCAAAATTTTTTGTTTTGAAAAGCTGAATTTGAGACGGTGTATAGATGTATATGACGTTTTCAGCAGTCTCCCATTCCACAACACGCTACAAGTACATTTTCTTCCCGCCGCGTCGGGGGCCAAGAAAAAGATTTCTATCTGTCTCCTACGTTTGCCGATGATGAAATATTTCGTTCCATTTCCTCCATCAATTCCTCGGCATGCTCCTAGGCGCTCCCCGTCTATTTATCCCTCACACATACAACACCTCACAGAACGAGTCTGCCAGGCTCCTCCTCCAAAATGACCTTGACCCTCTCCAAAAACACCTTGGCGCGCTTCTCATCGCCCTGCGGCACCGTCACGGTGAACAGGTTGCTTCCCGACGACATGCCAGGGGTATGGTGAGCAGCGACCGGCTTCTTCGCAGCAGTCTTCTTGGCCGGGGCGGCGAGGAAGTCGATAATGTCAGCCGAGGACGACCGCTTCGACGCGCGGGGGGCCAAGAGCGAAGCCTCGGGCAGGGCAGAGATCTGCGGCAGGTAGTATCCGCGCGAGCCGCGGGGCGCCAGCTTGTCGAGGCCGAGAACCTGGTTGAAGAGCTCGTCGGCGGTGGCCTTGCGGGCCGAGGGGGGCAGGTCGTCGTTGGCGACCTCGGCGGCGCGGGCGACAAAGGTGGAGACGGGCATGAAGACGCCGAGGGTGGACTGGATGCGCTTCTGAGCCTCGAGGACCTTTGCGAGGGAGACGGGGAGGGCGACCTCGGAGTCGACGGGGGCGGCGGGGGCGACGGCCTCGGCCTTCTTGGGGGCGGGTGCGGCCTCCTTCTTGGGCGCGACCTTGATGTTGCTCAGGTCGAGGTGGGACATCTTGACGGCGCGGTCCATAATCTTGCTGGGGGTTTCGGCGTTGATGGTGCCGAGGTAGGCGAGGACGTCGCCCTTGAGGAGGCGGCCATTGGGGCCCGTGGGCTCGATCTGGTTGACGGCGTCCTTGTCGAGGCCGTGGCCGTTGACGAGGGCCTGAACAGAGGGGAGGAGGGGGTATCGCTGCTCGCGGGCCTTGGAGCCGGAGGTTTTGGCCGCGCCGCCCTTTTGCTGCGCGGGAGCCGACGACGCCGCGGGGCCTTCGCTCTTGGGGGCTTCCTTCTCGGCGGCGGGGGCGGGCTTCGAGGTGGAGGAGGAGGTGTTGTCTTCGGCGGGGACCTGGAGGGTGGAGAGGTCGTCACCGGCCTCGGCGATGACGGCGATGCGGGTGCCGACCTGGACGGCCTTGGCGCCGTCGCCGGTGGTGATCTTGAACATGATGCCGTCGTCCTGGGCCTCGACGTCCATGGTGGCCTTATCGGTCTCGATCTCGAGGAGTACGTCGCCGGCGGAGAAGGACTCGCCCTCCTTGACCTTCCAGCTGGCGATGCTGCCCTCGGTCATGGTCGGGGAGAGGGCGGGCATGGAGAAGTTCTGGGCCGCGAGGCATCGTGCTGAGGTCCGGAAGCCTGTTTTTGGAGGGAGCGAAGAGTGGTCAGCTCCGGAGTTGTCTCTCGGTTTCACGTCGTTGCAGAGGACAGCATGAGGGTATATTTTGCTGACAGCTACAGCATGAGTGAGAGGGGGTTGATCTACGGACCTCGAGCTGTGGACTCTGCGGGTATTCTCCGGCCAGCAACCCTCGCAGAAAGACGAGCCGCCGTCGCAAAGGAGGCCATCTTTAAGATTCACGGGAACCGTTCGTCGGAGCCGGAGCTTTATTCGGGGGGTACGTAGGGAGCGAAGCGGGTTCGGATCGATTCAATTGAGGGAGAAGTTCCAGAAAAAAAACTTCCTCAATTGATTTTCCGTTGTCGGACCACACGGCAGAGGGACGCAGGCGATTTGGTCGTCGGAGGCGGAGGATGGTGGACAAGGGGAAAAAAAGAAGAGGAAATCGCCAAAGTGGGTTGAAGGCTTGTCCGTTCGGGCGTGGTCGGTGTCGGTGGTCGAAAAAGCGAACCCGGGGCGGCGCCTTGTCCTTCTCTCTCTCTCTCTCGCAAGGATAAAATTGTCGAGCTCCGTTGGGTGAGCTTCGTTAGCGCCAGCAATCACGGACCTGTTGGGGTGGGACCGACTCTGATGCCACTTTGGTGTGGCTTATCGCCGAATTCTGGCGGCGGACGGGGGCACGCTGGCAGGCACGGACCAAGAAAATCCCGCCAATTTGTTGGTCTCATTGGCCCCGTCGAGAAGTTTTGGTTCGCCCGTTAGATCGGATGACAACTAAAAAGTACGTACTCTCTTCTTTGAGCGGTTTTAAGCATCTGTGGCGCCTTATCGTTGCGCCGCTCTCCGACCGCAATCGCAGCTCCCGTCACTGGGCTCACCTCACCTCAGCACGGGCAGGGTAGGCAAAGGGGAAAAAAAAAAAAAAAAAAAGGTCCCCTGCTGCAGATTGGACGTCGCATTTCGATAGTGGAGACACACCCACACCCCTGTCATCGAGACGTCTAATGCCCCACAGAAACTTTTCTGGATAGCTTCAATTTCCACGTACGATACCTACCTCGACAGTTGGACGATTCCTGACGGGACCAATTGAGCCACGGCCATCGCGTCGCAAATCACCAAATCCTTGTCATTCTCTTCATCTGTATCTTTAGCTTCATACACCGCCTCATTTGTCACCACAATCAGCAATCCGCGACAATGGCAGCCTCCTCAAGAGGCATGAGCCTCTGCCTCCTCCTCGCCTCCCGACCCGGACCCCTCTGCGCGACGGCGACAACCACACAACCTCTCCTCTCCCGCCGACTCTTCAGCTCCCTGAGCCTCCTCCGATACGCCGCAAAACCCTCGCGCACGACAGCGATCCCAAGCAACCTCACCCGCAGCGCCGTCTCCAAGCCTCCTCCTCCTCCTCCTCCGAAATCTCCCCTCCCATCAACGAACCCCGCGACAGCAACAACATCACCAGGCGGTGGGACCGCAGGCTCAGCTTACGCCCTCGCAACACACTTTGCCCAGCGGCCCCAACCCACAGTCCTCTACGAAGCCGCCTCCCACCTCTGGATGAAACTCTCCGCCTGGTCCGCCGCCACAATGTTCTACTCCTACGCGGGGATAAACTACTACTTCACCCTCCTCAACCCGCCCCCGGACCTCGCCTTCTGGGTCCCGCACGCCTTCGCCTTCATCTGCGTCGCCACCGCCGGCTTCGGCTCCTACTTCCTCTTCAACGCCCGCAACATTGTCAAGCTCATCCGCGCCGTGCCCACCGCCTCTCTCGTAAAGTCCGCCGCCGCTGGCGGCGGCGGCAGCAAGACCGGTAAGGCAGCGGCTGATGTTCTCCCCCTGGGCGTGACCAGCGCCAAAGCCACCCCCATCGTCCTAGAAATCACATGCGAGCGCATCCTCCCCGGAACCCCCAAGAAACTCCTCGTCGCGCCGGAGCAGGTCCGGATCCCGGGCCGCATCTACAGGCCCTTTATCGCGCCCACGCCCGCCATGGAGAGGGCCGCCGCGCGGCAGCAAAAGGTACAGGCGAAAGCCGACTGGGAGTACGACAAGAACCACCTCATGACGACGCCGATCCGGCACGCAAGTAAAGGGTTCAAGGCGGTGTGGTACGGCGTCCGGAGGGCCATCACCAAGGAAGGTTTTATGCGCATGGAGGCTGGCGGGGATAAGCTCAAGCTGGACGTGTTTACGGGCTGGGCGCTGGATGATGGGCGGGCTATTGATCGGCTGGTCAAGGTTGGAGCGTGAAATATGTGATGAATTGGTTGTGGATGAGGGGGGGGGGATTTTGCCCTGATGGGTAGGTTAGCTGCTCTTCTATCATCGAGCGTGGTTGTACAATATTGTATTATGATGGAGTCCCAAAGTAGACGAGATTCTATCAGGGGAAAAAATGTTCAAAACGTTGTAAAGAGATGCCTCCACGAACAAAGATAGCTGAGGAAAACAAGACACAATATCTCAGATATATACAGCAGATACTGAGCCAGTCATGCGCGGTTACTTACCTTCGACTACCAGGGTTCCTTTCAATCACGACTACATGTTGAGACGATCTACACATCACACAGGCCTCATCGTGCTGTGCACTCAGCCCAGACATAGTGTCACTCTCAGCAAGACCCAGCCAGAATCGAAAGCCTGCCTCGAAACGACAGACCTCAAACCCGCTCTATGCCAACATTCCTCCCTAAAGACAGCTCACAGCGTCAAAGTCCCCAAACCACATCTCGAAATCTCTTCAAATCACATGGAACAGAGACGCGCAGTTGGCGCATCTAACTGGCGAACTCCGCCATCCTCCCCGTCCGCAGCATCCTCCCCGTCCGCAGCATCCTCCCCGTGGCGCAGGAGTCAGAAATCATCGATAGAATCGTCGATCCTCCACAGCCATGCCCGCTCTATCAACCGGGCCCAGACCGGCAGACTGCAACCAGCCCTGCAGAACTCCCCTCTCGAAACCCGCAAAACGCATCTCGATCCAGCACAAGTCGTGGGCCAGGCAAGGCAAGAAATGCAACTGCCTTGGTTCCAGCAAGGCGTACATGCATCCCCGAAAGCCAAGTCGAAATCTTCACCAGACCGCCCCTCACAGCCTTACCGTTACCCCTCCATCCTCCGTGTGTCTCAGAGCGCCGCTTCACTTGAAGAAAAACACCGTTCTGATATTCACCGCGTACAGAACGGGAAGGGTAGAAGGACATGGGCGCAGATCGACCTAGTGCCCCTGATCGGCCTTCTCTGGCGTCCCTGATGATCGGACATACTAGGACGACCCAATGCTATGTTTGGCAACCGAGTGTGTCTCGCCTTGTCCTTGTCCTATATGGCGTGCATCGGAAGATGGGAAAGTAGTGTGTACACACGGTCTCTCGACGCCCCCCCCCCCCCCCCCCCCCCCCCCCCCCCCCCGACTTGGCGAAGCCGACTCCGGCCCAACCGCAGCGGCGGGCATTTTCCCTGATGTCTGTGGTTCCGGGCCCAGAAGATGGATGGCATTTGTGGGAAATCGGAAGCTGGTAAACAGTCGAGAGGTCCATTGGGGCGGAATACGTGGACTGTGGACTGAGCCAGCGGCTAGCGCATGTCAAAAAGCAGGATGTCACGGTAGGTGCGGATTGAGGAAACGCCCAGGAGATCGCATCGTGAACCACCGATAACGTGGTTGTTCGATGGTGGTGGTTGGGGTGAAGCCTGTGTAAAGTGCTGTCCGTGTAAGTGGCCGGTGGTTGACAAAGAGCTTTCCGGCGACGGAAACAAAAGCTTCGAGAAAAAAAAGTTGGCTGGCAAGGCTGGTGCTGGCTTAGTTGGCGGCCACCAAGTCCCACTTGGCAAGGTGGAATAGTGTATAAATCGGCTGGCGGGCGATCTATGGCGGTCAGTCAGCCTCAGAGTTTACGGGGTCGAAACGAGGCTATCCCTGCCTGCCAGGAGCCACGTCGAACCTTCAACGGCTGATCAACAGACATTTTCCAAATGGCGTAGTGAGGGGCAACTGAAGAAACGCAAGACACTCGGTATCCCCCTCCGGCGAGCTGCTGAGCGTTCGTCCTGTCCCGGAGAAGGACCTGTCGATCGTCTCGTCTTTAGAGAGAGAGGGGGAGTTGCAGCAGGCGGGGTACAGACCTCAGTTGAGGCCATTCCCAGGAACCAGTAGAGAGCGGTTACAGAGTGGTGAGGTAGAGGACACACTGCCGGGCGCTTGCTGAGCGGTGTGATGGTAAGCGGCCTTCTTACCGTGCAGGATTGGTTGCAACGAATGGTTTCCAACACTTGCCTCCGCTGCCGGACGGAGGATTGGAGGAGAGGAGATGTCGTGGGCTTTGGTGGTTCGGTCTGGCGGTCACCGTACGCTCAGGAATTATCCTTCGTTCCACCCCGCCTTTCATGGGTTTGAATGATGCCGTCATCATCCCTCGAGTCGGTCGTCCAACAATGGTCAGGGTCGAGTGATAATGCGTGTGGTGTTGGCTGATGAGGGGCCTTGGTCCCCACCGAACTGGGTGGAACGACTCATGTCCCATTTCATTCTTGGTACGGATATCGCTGTATCGCATCGCACAGCGCAGCGGGTCTGTGCCGGCGGCAGATCGAACTCGGGCAATGGCTGGCCGTCGTGAATAGGGGAGACATGAAGCAGAACTCGATCGCATTCTCCACCGGCCGAGGTGGCGGCTCCGGACGCCGGCATGAAGGCCGCCGACTGCCCGATTCTGGGCAACTGCATGCAGTGAGCGTGTGCTCTCTGCCCGTTGAAGAATAGGAAGCACGAGAACAGGTCATCTACACCTGGTACATCATTGGAAGAGGATGGAGGGAATCTCGGGTGTGTTGCACCACAGTTCGAGGCAATACTGAAATTGTACAAAAGATGCGGATGGCATTTGCGGTGTGGGAAATTGCAAAGACTGGAGGAAGGGTCCTCGAGTCTATGCCCCGAGTTTGGATACCTGTTATGTCCCAAAGTTGACTGGCGCGTGTCTGCGGGTAAGCGTAGGGAATGTGTCAAGCATAAAGCGATGGATTGGGTCTCCCCGCGATCCTCCATCACAGCATGACGCCCGTCATGGCTGGCGGCTGTAGAGGCATCAGATCATCAGCTCATGATGGTTCGAAGGCAATTCAACGATGCCCGCAAAAAAGAAACGAAAAAAAACTACGGCTGCAAATTGGGTCCTAGACTCCTGGTTGTTGACGTGCGAGAGCGGAGGCCGTAGCAAAGGATAGCGCGAGAGACAAGGTCCGGGGTCTGACAAGAGCCTACTATACCTGGTAGTGTACTCATCGTGTTAGTGTATGTACTGAGATTATTATGTGGTGCAGACTCCCGAGATGAGCATGCCAATACCTTAGTGTGGGGGGAGGGGATGAGCGGCGTTCCGATAGATAGCAGACCGTACGGAGTAGCCCCGTACGAATACTCTAAACACTGCGGACTGGTTCGATAAGACAGCTGAAAGTGTGGCATCTTGAAAGGGGCCGCTGCGGTGTGCTGCCGGCAGTGCAAAGACAAGAGAAACGATACCTCTAAACCTCCATCATACCTCAGCCGAGTAAAGGTTAAAGATGGCGTATCACGTACCATGCTCGGTACATACACCGACAAGAGTCTGCATGAGGCAAGGCCTTGTATCTGTACGGAAGCTGGTGGTATGGATTGAAGCTTCACAATGGACCCCGTTCAACAGGGCCTCAGGAGGCTCCGCCGAGTTCGCTTCCATGCCGGCCGCCATGAGATCAGATGGAAGTTGAACCGGGAACCTGCCAAAGAAGGTAGGCGACGCTTGAGGCTGTCTATTTGCGGTCCAAGGACAGGGAGAAAGCGGGAGAATGAGGATGCGTACTCGGGTTGCGTGGTGCAGGCGGGAATGGCGTTTGGTTGGCCGCAGCCAACGGTCATCGTCAATTCCCCACGAGATCGAGGGGCGGCTCCAGGGGTCCGAATGCCCCTCATTTTTTGCACCAAGCTGCGCAGAGATAGGTATAGATACAGACAGGCCGTGATGGTGTGTACGCTTCACCGTAGCACTGCTCGTCATGAGCCGCCAACGGCACGAGCACAGACCATCACAACCCTCATGTAAGTCAGAGTTGAAGTCAAGGTTGAAGTCAACAGTCGAGAAGTCAACTGGTTCGAGCAATCCTAGCATCTTGCTCTAAGACGAACTGGGATAGTGTCATTCCTCCACTCCCTTTCTAGTGGAACAAGGCCTGTTGACCACCCCGGTCCTCTTCCAGTCGTGCGTCTCTAGGAAATCCACTCTTTGCAGTCTTTCTCGCATAAAACAAAAAAAGGTGTGCGAGCCTGCAGGAAAAGAGAATTTTCGCGACGGAGCGGTGAGCGAGCAATCGGCGTATCGCCTCCCTGTAGTCTCTCTCCCCCCCCTTGATGAGACGACAAGTGTGCGTTCCTCGCCTCCTAGAGGCGGCTGCATCATCAAATCGTGTACCTCAAACCTATTGTCAAGTATCAGTGGTCGAGTTCCTGCTCTCGGCGAGCTCGGTAAGGTAGACGGCGCATTCTTGGAGGATCTTCAGGGTTCAAGCAGCCTTGTTTTTTTTCCCCTATATCTAAATTGAACCCTGTTGCGCGAGTAGCGCTATTGATCATATCCGGTTTCGTAGTACGGTAATAGCAAAATTCCCATCTTTTGCTCGGAAAGGCGAGAACAGGAGTGAGGGTCCTGATTCGTGGTCACCAATCATGTATCTTGGCGTACAAACGTCAGACTTCAGGTGAAGTCGTGAATCCTGCTGCAGCTTATACAAATCAACTTGCTAGTGTAAATGGCAAAGTTGCAGTAGTGTTGTGGCTGGCGTGAACGATGCCTCAAACGTAGTAGCTGTGTGATGCTATGCTCATCCGGCCATCCGTCAAGAATTCCCTGGCGTAAGGTAAGCCACCTCTTCCCGGCTTGTATGAGGAACTCGTCAAAAAACAAGGCAAGCCAGTCTTCCCGAGCTGAGTAGCGGGGGCCTTGGTTCGTCGGGATCCCCTTTGCAGTCGACACGTCAAGTTTCCAAGCCGCAAGACTCGCTCACTGATGGAACCTTTTCGGTAGCCCAGGTCCGGTGAGATCGACGGCTGTTCGGCAGTCCACCGCTCAATGGTGAGCATCAAAAGAACGACTCACGGTGTCGAGCGTGAATCACACAGCTGGGCGATCTCTCTTGGCTGGCGAGTCAGCGGTCCTCCCGCACCCCGGTCCCCAGACTCACAGACTCTCCAGCCTCGCATGCCCGGCACACCATTGGTGGGCGGCTCCGTTGCACCATAGATGAGCTCACATGCTCGCAGCGGCGCCGCTCATCCCTAGCCTAGCCCGTAGCGATGTCCCCTTGACATCGGAACTCGTTGCAACTTCCAAGGCATCTGCGAACTCGGTGGTTGGCCGTCGTTGTTCATTGTTCTCGGCTCGGATTCAACGACAAACTCGTCCACGATCAAATGTGGTTTCTACCCTTTCCCAGGCCTGGGCCCCCGGATAAGACCAAACACCCGGATTCGGATGCGGAGAAAAATGTCTGAATGTCAAATGATTTCGACGCCTGCAGCAGGTCAAAAGTCGCGAACCTCGTAGGCGGCCTGGTTCGGTCTGGCCCATGTTTCACTGATATGGACGAACCAACGTCGAATGAGGAAACGGCATCTACCCTCCATCATGTCTTTTAGGCCCAAGATGGTGCTATAGTGAAGTCTGGTAGTGCACCACCTGCTTCCTCCCACCGCCCTTCTCAATGTAGTGAACCACACCAAACAAAAGCCATCCCTGAGACCGAGCCTCAAGTGCCTGATGATCACTTCTCTCGTGCCTGGGTCAGCGCAGACGCCATAATATCAGTAGTCGTCTGAGATATGGGACTGACTCGTTTTACAGCGATTGCGCCTTTCCGGTCTCGCCCTAATTTCGGTACCAGGTCTCAGATATCTAAGACCGCCAGACGAACCGCTGTCCGTGGCGACAGGAAAAGGGTTGGGTAATGAACCCCAACGACTACTTATCATTATCGGTGCCTCGGAGGACGTCGCGGCACCGCCCAGCCACGCCCACATGATGAATGTTCTGGTTCATTACCAGCTCCCGCGCGGGGCACATGGCACTGAGGCTGACCCCGCCAGACGATTACACCTGAGAATGCGACGGAGCAAAGGTTCAATGTGATCAGAAAGGTGTTCAGCGTTGCAACCAATACGCGAGACACAGAAGAACAGTCGTATTGTTCATCTTTTGCCCGTTTCTCATTTGCCTCATTCCAGACCATTCCGATGAATAGCAGAGAAGCGGTGAAGAGCAACACCGACATGAAGGCGCAAAAAAATGTGTTGCAGAGTGTGAGAGATTCGTCGCGCATGGTGGTAGTCTACGGAGTGAAAATGAGGGGCTGCGCGACATCGCATCGAGTGGTAGGTAGGGCAGGGGAAGCGGACAGATTGGCGATTGGCGGTTGGCGGTTGGCGAGGTTCAATAGGTATTCGTCCCCGTCCATACACCCATTATACGTGCAGGGAGAGTAAGCTGAGGGTGTGGTGTGGTTGGTGTAGTATAGTGTATCCCGCGTACACCAAAGTTGGCATGTATCGACTACCTCTGACGGATAGATGTAGTGTGCACACACACTTCCACTGCTGCAAGCACCCGCGCAAGATGGTCGGCCGTGCACTCCGCCGGCTGACCGACATTGTTGGAACGGTCCCGGTCGAGAAAGTCTCAGGCGGTATCCGTAGCGCCGCCGTACGATTCCTCCGTCGAGGCTGTCGTGAATCTGAAGGGAAATGCAGCTATTCGCAAAATGAGGCTGCTTGACGATGAAGTCCCCATCCCCAGATCCACAATGATGAATGCCGAGCGGGTGCGGTTATGTAACAGCGCGTCAACATCCCGGCTCATGGGAGAGGGAGAGAGCCTACGAAGCGACCAAGTGACGAGCCGCGACGTGAAAGAGCATGCGTCATGACAGAGTTGAGGCATAGCATCGGGGCCGTGGACGTGGGACGATGGAAAAGAGGCCTGGCGTACGGAGCGAAAGAGAGGGCCCGGAGAGGGCATGGGTTGTTGGTTGGTAGAGTGGACGATGGGTGCTGCACGTCGGTGCACGACGATATTCCACGCGCGTCTGCCACGATGTAAATGTCCCACGGGAACGGCGGGCGTGGTCTTCTCTCGTCGACTTCTCTCTCTGTCTTGCTACCGCCTACGCATTGGACGGAGGGGAGCAGCATGATGGTCGTTCAGACTGAACTAGGTGTTTCCCCGAAGAGGAATAGACCACTGGCCCCGGGGATGCCATCCACAATTCGGCGTCTTTCCTTTCAGATTGGCAGCCAAGTGCAAGAAAAGAAGGGTGAGGTGGGGGTGAGCTTGTGAAGAATGGCCGTGGGAGGGTCGCCTGGTGGAGAGTCGTTGGCTGTCTGCAGGGATGAATGGCGGAGGGTCAAAGGCAGGATGACATGCCCTCGCATCGACGACGAGGTCTGTTGCGAAGTTGCGCTTGGTGCTTTGCTGCGGTCCCAATCAGGAGGCATCGCGGCCCTCGAGCTGGTGGAGTTATGACATAATTGCTGCTCCATTTCCGCCCAGGATGCAGCTGTAAACCTTGCTCGGATTGGCTCCGTGTCGGCGGAACGCTTTCTTGACAATTGAGACCCCATCTTCATCCGCTTGATTGTCTGGTATGTGATATGTGCTGGAAGAAAATGTGCGCTGCCGACTTTGTTGCATGCATGCAGCAAAAAGGTGGGAGGAAACAAGGTGATGTGCAATTCGGCTGGGGAGGGAAAGGCAAAGATCGTCTTCGCTATGTTTCGGTACAAGTGACGACGGCACATGGAAGGGAGCAAAGGGATGGCGCCAATGGCTTAATTGGACGCCGAAGCGGAGAGGGTCAAGCTGGAGATTTGGGGGAACGATAATGGGAATGGGTGCACGCGCAAGAAAGTATGGGTACCGAACAAAGATCGACGAGCGGATACCAGCGGGACGAGTCTGTAACTGGCATGGGGGGAAAGAGCATCCGTCCTTCTGTAGATGATCATCATGGATCGTGACTTCGGCGCGGCTTTCGGAGAAAAAGATGGGCGGGTTTGATAGAGGCATGTTGAATATGTATTGTATCTCAGGAAAGGACTACCTACCTTGAATTGCAGTACTATCACGGAGGAGGTACCTTAACTGAGGGACGTTGATATTACAAGAAACATGGATGAACTTGGACTTGAAGAGGTAGGCACGAACGATTGACCCCACCTCCTGTCTCTTTGAGAGTTTCTTCGTACCTTAGCCCCTTCCCATGCCTACCTGAAGTAATGGTCAAGAGACATTGAAGAAGAAGAAGAAAAAACAATGGATGCTCTAGATCAGATGTCTGGAGGTGGTGTTCGAAAGGGCCATGTCCAGGCTTCTACCTATATTGTCTGCAAGGTTGGGTAATCAACGTGAGAAGGCAGGTTAATTACAACGCTTCAATACGGAGTACGGATAAACGGTACTAAGCGCAGGGCACATGTCATGTCGTTGGAGAAGGCGGGTTGACCGTTCTCGAAATAGTAGCGCGGATCTTTTTGGCTTCTGAGTCGGGTCCGAAGGGGTCGCGCGCTGAGCAAGACTTCATTCAAAGAGAAGGAAAAAACGTGCGCCATTGCGTACCTACCCTAGGTAAATAAACGTGGTGGTTGGGGCTGTTTAGCACTTTAGTTTCTCTTTTTGATTTATCATCAACGTGCTTTACCCAAGTTGCCTAGTCAGAGTCGAAGCATGTGCTATTTTAGTCTGGTCAAAGTCTTGTTTGAGGCGCAAAACATATCTATCTGAGTTGGGAATCGGCTTGGGCGAACGTTCCATCCAGAACATGTTTCTCAGCCCTCTTGGGTCATGGTCATATTTCCCCAGGTTTTCTGGTTTTGGGTAAGGTGTCGATTCTTCAGCCCAGTTTCTAAAAACGTAGTGGCAAACATTCAATCTAACCCTTGGAAACTGGAGAAACGGTTAGATGGGTGATCGGGGGGGGAAGAAAGAAACAAGAAGGTTAAAAGTTGCCTCGACGTTGCCTCAGCGTCGCAACGGTCCAGCTATTTTGATACACGCACTGCTTCTCCTCACCGACGACCGGTTTTCACTAAGGTACCTTTAGTATTCCCATAGTACGAATCAACGACGTACTTAGATGAGGCTCATATATCTGATGTTGAGTTACAGGCGCTGATAGTCGCAAGGAGACAAAGTCATGGATTCGGAGTGATTAAGGGACCACCTTTTTCTTCTTTCGGGTGGTGATAGCAGCCGTTGAATATCGCTATCATTGTGGAGGAGATGCGTGCCGCAAAGAAGGAATGCCTTTCTGAGCTGGCCCGATATTCCATGGCTTCCCTGTCGGCCTTTCTACCACGAGCAAGTACGTACCTCCGCACAGCATCTCGTGAGGTGGAGTTACCTAAAGGTAGTGAGGTGGAGGTACCGGTACCAAGGCAGGCAAGTCCATAGTCCAAGACGCTAAGTCTGACGAGCGCAGTGCACGGACATGGTGACAATCCTGGCCAGTGAGATTTGTTTGCGCATGAAAATGAGATGCAGCTTTTGTCCATGGCCAGGCGCCACCTTGTCGTGCTTGTATCCGTACCCTTCAAAGTACCCTCGACCACCAAAAACCTTCAGTCTCTCAAAAAGACGATGGAGGGTCCTCGAGTGGGGTGGCTTGCAGGGTGCCATATTGCCCGGGATCCCTTAGCGCACGACATGGGATGACCGTGCTGGGGGCTTCCAGTGGACCGCCAGGCGAAACAGGCGATGAAAAGACGAGATTGACCTCTCCGCCACGATCCAGTGTCGCCGTGACCATCCATGCGCTTCATTGGATCTCTTGAGCCGCTGCAATCTTACTATGCTTTTCTTTTGCAGTCGCCGACCCGAGCTATTGAATTGCCCTTTATGTCAATATCAACCACCATATGCCTTAACGTTGCTGGTGCCGATGTCGTCTCCAGGACTCCAGACTAAAACTACCGAGTACGAAGTATTCCATGTTGGCATTGGTATAGACACCCCGCGACGTTACCTTATGCATTCGCCAAAAGTAATGCCGCACCGCAACTTCGCAACCCTTGCGCCGCGTCTTGTCGCGTCAAACAAAGACAACGACAACACCTCAAAGGCAGATATATTGGAACGGCATCACCATGCAGCATATCGCATTGTCAGCGTGGAGCTTATCCGTCCGACAGCAATGGCGTAATCAGACCATTTGCAACGGGCAGCGGCATTGTAGTTAATGTCCTTCGCATGACGAGGCGCCCATGTGCGCTGGAATGCGTTATCGACGGCCCGTGGTCTTGCTGGGCTTGGCTTCTCCTGCCAGATGGCAACTGCCTTCAGACGACCCGCGGAGACAAGAGCCTGATAAGAAGCGCAGACGATGGCGACTACGGCACAATTGACAAGTTGGACGGGGAACCCGTCAACAAAAACAACCACCTTCCATGGTGTAAACAAAAGAATACCATGGCAATTGGCGGTTGGACCGATTTTGGAGATCCTTGATGCTAGCTCGCATGAACAAAATGAGGTGGAAATGCGCACCAGCCGGACCCGAGGCCGGCAAGTTGGGGAAGCGAATTGGCTCCTGCTCTAGAGGTTGGAGGCGCAATGCTCACACTCGCCCGGCCATCCCAATGCGCTGGATCCGGATGGGGTCGCGATGATGTGATTGTCTCGTGTGCTAGGAATGCGACTGCTAGAAAGTCCGGATACTCCAGGTGCTTGTTGATCGTAATGGACTCTTTGACGAATTCCAGAGGTGCAGACATATGGAGTGAGACTTGCCGGTTGGTGGTGGAGACATGGTCGACGATTTGATATTGGGTAGGTATTCGGAGCAGAGACATCCAATGCCTTTTCCTTTTCTTCGTGCTACCTCCAATTATTAGCCAGCGTACGGGTACCGTACTGGCTACTTCACAAAGTGCTGCTCATCGCTTGTCACACGTTTGGGGCCAAGCGCAAGCCCCAGCCGCAAGCCAGGATCACTCGTCGGTGGACCCCTCCTTACACACCCCCCAGACGAGCTCCGAATTCTCGGCGACAAACGGGCGAGAGGTCTGGAGTGGGCTTGTACAGAGTACGGAGTATCATTGGACGGTTTCTTTGCCTCGCGCCCGTCAGCCGTCAGTCTCACTGTGGCCGGTGACCGACAGACTGCAGCGAACAATCGTGTGTATTCGCAGGTGTTCCATTCCGGCTGAGGGCGACGGGTGTCATCTGACCGTCGCTGCCACACGCCCGCCCGCTCGTCGCTCGGTAACCGATGGCGAGACAGGCAACGGACAAGATGGTGCCGGAGGCGCAAGACGATGGATGTTTTGACTGCTTTGATGTGCTGCCACGGAGAATTAAAAGAAGGGAAAAGCGAACGAAGGCTGACAGAAAAAAAAAACCAAGGGTACCTACTACTGTGTACTCCGTACACTACTCAGGGCCAGGCAGAGGTGGGAGATGATGGAGCGACCGTGCGCCGGAGAGCTCGACGGATTGGATGCTTAATGTAGCTATCTGTCTGGAGCCGGGCAGTATCTGTGATACTAGATACGGGACACACGTGCATGTCATCTTAGGTTGTCGTAAGTCGTGGGACACGATCGCGTACGGATAGTATGTGAGAAATAGGGGACAAGGAGGAGAACGGGGCTCGTCGGGGGTCGGGCGGCGTGGAGACGGCGGTATTTGGTGACCGAGTCGCAACAGAAGAGATGGCCGGTTCGAGTCGTAGCCGTGGTCGAGGAGTGTGTATACGATGAAGGTCCGGGATGGGGGGGGGGGGGGGGGGATGGGTTGAACTGGGAGAAGCACCGGCAAGGTGCCAAAGGCACGGAGGCCGGAGGACTCGAGGACGAAAGAAGAGAGAAAGGACAAGGGCCAGAGTTCCAAACGAAATCAGCCTGTCGAGTGTCGACTGCGACTGCACCCTGTCGCCGCATGCTGCGCTTGCGATGCACGTCTTAAAACTGAAGGTGCAAGTCAAACAGACGTGCAGCGCAGCAGGCAGTCGCGGCGGCAGGGAAAGAATGTGATGAGCAGAGTTTAGAGACAAACAGAAACACACGGAGGCATCGACTTGCAGGCCGGGCTGCACGTCTCTGCAAATCTGCTCTGCAAGATGCAATGACCGGGAGAGAGAGAGAGAGAGAATGAAAGAAGAGAGCCAGTACAGAATATCGAGTAAATTGTATTAGCTAAGCCAAGTCCCAAGCATTACTGTGTAGGTAGGCAGCTGTGAGGCAGGCGTGATGTGATGGACAGACAGGAGGAGGCAGGTGCAGGCATCGTGAGTTCCTCTTGTTTCCTGCCTCACCTGCCACGCCAACGGTTGAGACGAGGAAGGAGAAGGGATTGAAAAAAAAAAAAAAAAAAAAAAAAAAAAAAGGCAGTTGCAGTTGCAGTCAAAACGGAAAGGGCGCTCCAGCTTGTACCGGGTACTTTGGTCTGCTTCTGCTTTGAGTGAATGACCCCGCCGCCACAAAACAGGGATGACCCCAGCTTCCAACTCCTCCCACCTTGTCTTCCTTCTCACCCAGTCTCTGCCTCTGGCGAGCGTTTCTCTCCCATCGTCCACCACCATCCACAACCAACCGTCGTCCTCTTGGCCCGGCTCTCTCACTTCAGGTTGCTCGTTGGTGCCGCTGGCGAACCCTCCTTGGCGCCTCCTGTGGCAGGGTGCGGACTGCAGGGTCGACTAAGAGCGAGTGAGAGGTGCTAGGGTAAACATGGGCGTTCTCGGGTGCTGGGGGGATGGGATGCTAAGGTAAAAGGTCACAGTAGTCTTCGATGATCAGGGTGTCCTTGGAGTCTGTGGGTTTTTCTTTCTCTTGCATGTTCAGATACTTCCATTGCTATGGCATGTTGCTGTATCCATATGCTCCAGTCTCCAGTCTCCAGTATCTCTGTATCCACCCTCGAAAAGTGGGTGACTGAGATGGGGCCTCACGTCCCTTGTCGATATTCAAACCAGCATGTCCTGGTCAAGGGTCACCCGTCAGGGAAGGCTGGCCGCTGGTGCTCTCTGTTCGCTGCATCTGGTGGATTGGGGGTGTGGGTGCGGGTGGGTTGATTCGAGGGTGGGCTGTCTGAGTACGTACCGACTCTCTGGACATCCATGTACCTATCCTGGATCCAAGGCCAGAGGGAAGGAGACAGAGAGAGAGAAAAGCGTAGGTGCGTGCCTCCCCTCGTACCGCCTACCGCTCTAACCCGCGCACCACACCTTTCGCTTCTCTCTCTCTCTCTCCCTCTCCCACCGATACCTAGCACCGCTACCACCACCACCATCAGCAGCCTGGTTGGCGACCATTTGTTATTATTAAACCCGGACCCCGTCCGACCACCCCCCTTCCATCTAAGAAAGACCCTTCTCGGTTTCTCTCACACTCCTTTCTTTGTGTCGTGCAGAGTTGTCGTGAGGAGTTTGGAAATAGCTTCCTCGACCTCGAATCACCATTGCGAATACCCTCAACCTCCTCCTTATCCTCCCGGACCGACCCCGATATCCCCTCTGTCTTTGTACGAGGACTCCCTCCGAAATCTACAACTCGAGAAAAGAGAGCCACTGTCCGCGGTGAGCTATCTCTATCTCGCTTCCCGCCAGAAACACCAAGGAAAAAAAAACTGTGAGTATTCTCTGTTTGGCCACCCTTCAGGAGAACAACAACACCAGGAAACCAGTGCCATGGTTTTTGACCGCTGCCTTTTGCCTCTTGCCCAGCTTGTTGCCTCGTTTTTGTGACTCCTCACTACCCTGCCTGCTTATCTTGTCGCCTCGTTGGAGGAGAGGAAACGAGAAGGGAAATCTCTGCCTCGCACACTGCACTTCGCATCTTGCACCGCTCACTTGCTGTTGGTTGTCATATTTACTGTCTGCCTGTGTTTGCCTTTGCCTGTATCATCTGTCACTCACCACCGTCGGCCGCCCCGTGTTTTCAAGAGTTGGCAACACCACTTCACATTCCCCTCGTTGTCCTCGGCGTCTTGTACTTCCCCCCTCGAAATTCCAGCGTTGTGAGACAAGATGGCTCCTGCAGCATCTGCAACGGGGGTACATCACTCGTGGTCCCTCTCACGAGCTCTTCACTCCTTCCGACTGTGCTGTCTGGGCAGAGTCTCGCAACGGCGCTTCTGGCTCTCCTCGACTTATCACTCCGACTTTCCCACTCTCGCCTGCTTTAAAACCACTTAGCAACGCATCGACGACATACTAACCCTCCTCGTACAGCTTGCGGTGTTACCGGTCACGACTGGCCTCCGTCGTCCGACTTACCAGCAACATCTGGTGCTATAGACGAACGACACCTCCTACGACCATATTAGGCGCCGATACTCGCCGTTTCTCTCCTTTCCAACCCCCCAGATACCCATACCCTGTACTCCGTCTGCCCCTGATGCGTCCTTGATCATGGATTCGGAAGACGGGGAGTTGTTCATAAAGGTACGCTACTATGGAAAAGCCATATTGCCATGTCTTTGCTGCTGCTGGGCTGCGCTGCCTGGTTTGGTGCGCTGGTTGTGCTAACATCTTCGTCTACAGCAACTGGCCAGCTTTGTGCGCACGCACGAAAAGGCTCTCGCCAACGCCTTGCAATTCAGAAGACAGGCTGCCTCTCGCCATGGCTCCTCTCAGAGTGTCAGCTCTATTCCCACGCCTCAATCACCAGTCGTTCCGGAGAGACCCTCGACTTCGGCCTCAACTTCCAGTGGACTCGCATCCGCTCTTTCTCTAGGTTCTCTGAACTTCACCTCGCATACTGTCAAGTCGGCGAAGCTGGCCTTGACGCCGCACCATCTGTTTTACCTACTATCTCGATTCGAAGAACTCGCCATTCCCGTTGGCCCCATGAAGATTCGTCTCGAGAACCTACACGATAGCTCAACATCCGCCAACTATGTATCCTTTTTGAGCAATACCCAACGATCCCGCAGCCGCGGCTCCGATGTTGGTTCTATCCACTCCGTATCTAGCGTTCGAAGCGTCATGTCAGGCATGTCGGCTCTCTGGACAAGTTTCGGTATCGGCGCGAGCATTTCGGCTGCACGAACCGAGCGGCAGAAGGCTGCCACACAGGCCGACCTGAAATACCTCTACTCCGCCTTCACTAAGATTCCTTGCCTTCGCCTCGCACCCGACTGGCGCGCCCGACTGATCCGCGGCTACGAAGAGTTCCCATTCGACTCAGCAGTGCCGCTCTATGTCTTCAAGAATGTTCAAGCTCTCGAAGTGAACAGCATCGACTTTCGCCAGTTCTTCGGGTGGGACCGCATGGCCGAGCAGTTGAGATCGCTGACGCTTAAGCGCGCCGGCGTCGAGGATCCTGCGGATATCCTGATCGACATCGTGCTTGATGACATGGACAAGCGGCGGAGAAGGACATCGAAGCAACAATCATCCCCGACTACCCCTTGGCCCGCAAGTTCCAGCCCTCGCAGGAGTCCCACCATTCCTCACGCTGAACTTCACAAGTCACCCTCGATGCCGGGTTCACCAGACCCGCGCAACTCGATCGGTGACCTGGGCATTGGCTCCCTGAGCACACAAGATCATGCTGTGGACGATGTACATGGTGAAGGCAGACGGCCATCTCTGGCTCGAGCGGAAACGTTCGAGGCCATGTCGCCCCCTAAAGGATCCCGACCACGCAGCAACTCACCCACTCGTCCCGTCAGCTCCCGCAACCCCTCTCATATGAGAGGAGGTCACAAGGTTCGTCGCTCCGGCTCTGGCAGCTCGCACTCGAGTCTTTCGGACTCGTGGCACCACAGCCGCGCTGGTAGCTCTTCGAATCTCTTGAGCATGGGTGTTCTGCCAGCATCAAAGTGGCGGTTCTTGAAGCACCTCAGTCTAGCCGACAACTCCATGACCTCCATCCCTGCCACCAGCTTGGTTCCCCTCGCAAACACCCTTCACTCTCTTGACTTGTCATCCAATCTGTTCACTCAGATCCCCGACAGTCTGGCTACCCTTACCGCACTTCGCGCACTTAACCTCTCACACTGCATGATCGATGGGCTCCACTCCTTGACGCGCAATCCCCTCCCGGCCATCTCGGCTCTCAACCTCCGCGCCAACCGCTTGCAATCAATCGCCGGCATTGAGAAGCTCTACCCTCTCGAGCGATTGGACCTTCGAGACAACCGCCTATCAGACCCCATGGAGCTGGCCAGACTCACTGGAATCCCTGACATCCGGGAGATCTGGGTTGAGGGCAATCCCTTCACCCGCACCCACAAGGATTACCGCATCACAATTTTCAACCTCTTCCGCAAGACCCCGGGCTACACCGAGGACGTTGTCATTGACAATTGCGGTCCCACGTATTCGGAGAGGAGATACCTGGTGGAGCGTACACCGGTGCCCGCCGCCGTGCCGGTCGTGAAGCCTGCTCCCGCTGAAATCCCGGCCGTTGACGTCAGCAAGCCAGCCATCATCTACGATATTCCCAAGGAGCCTTCCGTTCTCCGCAAGGAGCGGCCAGTCCCCAAGGCCGTTACTAGCGAGGTGAACACCAGCTCTACCCGCCGCCGCAAGACACCAAAGCGACGGATAGTAGACCTTTCTACCACGGACGCATCTGTGACAGTGACCCCTGGTATTGCACCGGCACCCCCTACGGACATCAAGATGCTCGCTTCCGATGCCACGGCGACCGCAGTCGGTTCGGACACCAACAACTATCGCATCTCGCAGGCTCCTGAGATTCCTCCACTTCCCTCCGCCGTTCTGGCCGACAATCGAAAGGCCAACTCCCAACCTGAGGTACCCCGCATAGACACTAGCGTGGTTCCCGAACTTCCCCCCATTTACACAACCCGCGATACTCCCCCAGACTCCCAGGACTGGGATGTTAGCGGGGAAATGTACCGCCGGAAGATTGAAGCGTTGCGGGACAAGGTCGGAAATGGTTACCTCAGTGTGCTCAGTGAGGAGGGCTGGGATCCCTCTCGCCCGCCAACATACTCGGTGCCAGACTTCAGCCCAGCCTCGACTGTTCGGCCCAGTCCTACTACCCCCCGGACTAATTCCCATCACCACCCCGCGGCCATTCACAGTGGTCGCACCCTTGGCTAAAGAAAAAGATTCGCCCTTTCTACATGATACCCTTCATGATACCCCCACCCCCCTCTTGAGGTTCGATTCTACCGTTGGGCTGCTTTTTTGAACTCTTCTTCTGCAGCATTGCACATGGCATTGCCACGAGCATGGACATTGGGTTCACCTCCAACCATTGTGTTATTCGTCAAATATTTTTCAGCATGGTAGAGCATAACGTACAAGGCGTTTTGGCTTGGCGGTTAACTGGTTTCAGTCTCCGCATTTTTCTTTTGATACTGATTGCACCGCCTGAGGTGGTAGAAGGCCACAGTAGATCTTGTCGCTTTCCCGTCTGTTTGGTTTCTTGGCGCGACCTCGACACAGAGGTCTCTCTCGGGCATCATAGGGATGGGAGGGATGAAAAGCGAGTGACATTGGGCGCGAAGGTATCTTCTTTCTCTTCTCAAGACTTGTTTTCTTTTCATATTGCAGGCTTCAACCTTGTGGCGTTGGCGGGGAACACATCTCGAGTGGCTTTAGTCATTTCTGGTATCACGGGGCACGAAAAAAAATCCCGCATGAGTTGCATTGTGTGTTTGGTTATGGTAGATGAATACTTGTCCATAAGACAAGCTGGTGGATGGCTTCTAATACATGATGAAACGCATACTTCATTGACGATGCTCTACCCGTTGTGCCTTGCAATGTGATGTATCCATGCCACGTCTTCCAGTTGTGGTGGATGACGTAATTTATTAAGTATAATAAGAGAGAGATTCTCCTTTCACAACTGAAGCACCGCACTCTGCTACCTCGGATGTTGTCTTGGTCCATGATTTGACTGAAGAGACTAGCCAGGGTTCCCATAAAGTCGGCCAAATGACATTCGAAGAGTTGGCCGCTCAAAAATAGGTCACCAGATAAACGTGGGTTGTTCCTGCGCATGGAGTACCGTTCAGCCGCAACCCCCCACAGGGGTGAAGATAGTGAAATATAGTGAGTTTGGTAGGCCACCTCTAACGAGAATAGATCCTCGAGTAGATTGGATGTTGTTACGCACCCCGAGGTAGGTGCTTGATAGTCAGGCTGGCTCGCGCATATCCGACTCTGATGTTCCATCTAGTTTTCGACGCCGGAGCCGCTCAGGCGAGTGGTTAGTGGCTTCGAACTTTCCAGGTCATCTCTCCGGGGAGAGGTTCTGGTTTTCAGATGCAGAGACTCCTGTGTTTGAATATTCAGACATTGGAAGTTTCTTGAGATAGTCTGTGAAAAGAACCTGATAGGTATGCAAGGTGGTTTTCAGCGGTCAAGGTTTTTTTTTTTTTTCTTTCGCTTTATTTCTGGAGAATGGTGGAAATCTCGACTGAGATCTAAAGATCGAATGTTCAGCGATCATGTAGGTGAGGGCCCGGCTTTGGGACTACATGTTCTTCAAGAGATGGGTATACTGCGTTGGTGTCGCAACGTGGCCGAGCCACGGAGGACGATGTGCTGATATGGAAATGACTTAAAGTTAGAAATGGATGCTTGGTCAACTGAATCTTGAGCTTTGCGGGAATTCTCAACAAACTAACTATGAAGTTACCAGAGCCCTCTTGTAGTATTCTCGTGGATTTCTTATCTTTAAGTCGGTCCCTTCTTAGATGCGTTCCATCTTGTGTACGTAGCCTTACGACATATTGTAGGACTGCCTAAGGCTAAGTTTTCTTTCATTCTTCTCAAGGTGTCTAATAAAGCATTGCTATATAACGACAACCATCACACCAGGACACTCTTATGCCAGACACGCAACTTGATCACGGGGCTGGGACTCGTCTCAGATAAACTTTGGTTGAGGTAGGTGT